GAGTTCATGAACGGCCTCCATGGCCGTGACAGGGCAGACAGTGAGTTCGTGAACGGCCTCTGTGGCCGTGACAGGGCAGACAGTGAGTTTGGAAGCAGACGCCACCACCTCAGGAGGTTCTGCAGCGGATTCATGGACAAGAAAGGCCCTCCACACGCTCAAAATGGCGACCGTCATTACAGGAAGGGCAGCAGAGTGTAGCATGACCTCTAAGATGGGGGGGCTTGAGAGTGCTGACATCAACGGGATGCCTGCAGCTCGCACCGACATCAGAGGTGGGTCCATCACACTAGCAATCAACCCTTTCAGTCTTGGCCCAAGCTCCGCGTCCTTGGCAGGCATGACGTGAACAGGCTTTGGCTTGGAAAGCATGACGTGAGCAAACTTTTAGGAAGTGGCATGTTCCTTCTCCATGACACCCATAGTGAAAACAGATCCACTCAACTGCATAGCAAAGTCTATGTATTTTTGAGTCCATTGAGGGGTATTGCGTGGCATTAAACAAGATAAATTTTGTCCCAAACCATAACAAAAAATGTCCTTAAGGAATGTTTCATTAAAAGCCACCAAATGGCACGGTCCACAAAAGTCCTGAACATAATCCTCAATGGCCCGGTTACCTTGACGCAGGCACAGGAGGCGTGAAACTGCTGGGTTCATATTGTTCTTGGTCGTGTATTCTGTAATGAATTAGTCCACTGAAGGCGAGTGTAGTGAAGAACCCAAGTGCAGTTTATTTACAGAGTGATCCAAACAATAATCCGAGACTTGACTTGACATGAACATAGCAGACAAGGAGGGTCACATGACATGAACAAACCAATGGGAAACAAGACACATGACTAAGACAACCAATCAGAACATGACACATATACAAGGCAGAGATACATGAGGGCAAGGGAAGCATGACACTGACAGCATGAAGCAATTCCAAAATAAAAGACATGGAAAACATGAACATGAAACAAAACCCAAACACCAAACCCCACATTACATGAACATGGTTTAAATATGGCTAGTTGTGTAACAAGTAGGATTTAACTAGTTAAATTATTAAGTAGTTTACAGGTTTACAAATAATAAATTATATATATATATATATATATATATATATATAT